TTCCGAAATGATTTGCAAAAATCTGACAATATGCAAGTTTCACGGCACGTGTTTGAAGAATACATCCCAGCAAAAATTCAAATTCATGTCTTCTCCGACGCATCAGAAAAGGCATATGGTGCTGCGATTTACATTAGATCCGAGCTGGATGAGGGACGAGTACAAGTGAGGCTGCTCTGTGCAAAATCACGGGTGGCACCCTTGAAACGGCAGACTATTCCTCGGCTTGAGCTCTGTGCATCAGTACTGGGTGCTCAACTAACTACAAGGGTCAAATCAGACCTTAAGCTAGACGATGTGGCTACATACTTTTGGACTGATTCACAAATCGTGTTGGCATGGGTTAACTCATCCTCAGCATCATACCAAACATTTGTGGCAAACCGTATAGCTGTTATTCATGAGCACACTACCGCTGAACAATGGCGGCATATAAGCTCAAAAGACAACCCAGCTGACATCGTTGACAGCTGTGGTAATCGTTCGTACAATGCAGCAATTGGACTTTGAGAAAGAGCGTCAGCACCTTAAAAAATACAACGAAGTTCGCAAAAACAGTTCTTTCCGCAGCCTGTCACCGTTGCTGGACAATAATGGCATCATCCGAGTTGGGGGGCGTCTACAAGCATCAGAACTTGCATACGATGCCAAACACCCGATGCTAATTCCACATAACAATTCACTCGCCAAATTATTAGTACAAATGATCCATAAAGAAAACCGTCAATGTGGACCTCAAGCGCTCTTAGCTTACGCAAGGCAAAGCTTTTGGCCTATTAAGGGAAAATTGCTGACACGATCAATTGTGCTAAACTCTGTAAGATGCAGCAAAGCTAAGCCAAAACTAATGAGTCAAATTATGGGGAACTTGCCTTCAACAGGAGTAACTCCAGCAAAACCATTCATCAATTCAGGCGTGGACTTCTGCGGGCCATTTTGGGTTCACTTCAAGATAAGAAACCACAAAAGGTCTATGTAGCGGTATTTTGCTGTTTTGCCACAAAGGCAGTACATTTGGAATTACTCAGCGACATAACAACGGACGCATTTATTTATGCCTTAAAACAATTTATAAGCCGAAGATGACATTGTCAAAATTTATATTGTGACAACGCAACCAATTTTGTAGGCGCGAAAAACCAGCTTTCTGAACTTACTGACGTTGTTTATGGAAATTCATCACGAGAATCAATAGTAAAGCAGTGCAATGGAAAGGGAATAACATTTCATTTTATACCTCCTAGGACTCCCAATTTTGGCGGTTTATGGGAAGCAGCGGTAAAATCAGTTAAGCATTTACTAATAAGAACCACCTCGACAGCGTCCTTAACGTATGAAGAATTGGACACGGTAATCATCGAGGCGGAAGGAATCCTAAATTCCAGACCAATCAGCCCAATGTCCGACAAGCCTAACGATCTAACAGCTTTAACTCCAGGCCACTTCCTCATAGGAGAACCCCTTAATGCCCAAGTTGATCCAACGTGTAGGTCACAGCAAACACATTTATTAACAAGATGGAGACTTGTTGCTCACCTCAAACGCGAGTTTTGGAATCGGTGGTCCCGCGACTATTTATCTGACCTTCAGCTGCCTGGTGATCAACAAAGAAAACAACACACCGGTACTGCAGTGGCCATTAGGAAGAATCAACAATGTATATGAAGGAAACGACGGTGTAGTGAGAGTGGCTGGTGTATAAACTGCTAGTGGCACTTGCAAGAGGCCTATTCATCGGCTTGCACCTTTGCCCAAGGAAACAAATGATGCCACAGAACGACAATCAACCAACAAATTGCTTAACCCTTTAATGTCAAATGTTGCTTATAGGCAACATTATATATTTCTACGCGTAGTTTTATAGTTGTTGTTATTTTTGCTAACGGTTTTTTTTTACAGTAGCTAATGTGTGTGGGCATTTCTTGAGAATTTATATTTAGAAAAGCTTAACAGGTGTTCATTTGAGAGCTAGTTGAAGTGTGTGCTGACGTGTGCAAAAAAAGTGAAAATAATCGTTCTATAAAAATTCAAATAAAACGTAATACGTAAGATTTTTTTTATAAAAAGTGAATTTTATTATAAATAACAGGTAAGAAAATCAAATAAAGTTTACAAAACTAAAATAAAGTTTTTTGTTTTATGTCAGGAATTTCGCGAACACAATGTTGCTTATAGGCAACATTTGGCCATAGTAGCAATAATATTTTGTATTTTATTCTTTTAGAAATGCGTCCAAAAGGTCTTACAGATCTAGAAATAAAACAGATAATAAACTTCGATTGGAATAATTCTGATGATGAAGAAGATGAGGAAGAAGAAGAAGAGTTATATGATTCGAATCTGGAGAAATTCATTGAAGAAACGATGGATAAAGTATTGGAAAGAGGGGAAAACGTTGAAATAAATTTGATAGACGGTATTGTTGGAGAAGATGAGCATGCTGATGAAGAAGTTGAAAATGTTGCGGACACAGAAAACATCGCCGAGGTAAGTTATGAAAAAATCAATCTGGAGAAATTGAGATGGAGGAACGCGGGCCTAACCGTTTTTGAAACTGCTTGGAAAGAAGATCAAGTTTGTCGAGAAGTCAAAGTGCCAATCAAATACTTCAATGAATTCTTCGATGATGAAATAATAAACAAGATTTGCAACGAAACAAATCTGTATTCAATGCAAACTAAAGGAGTAGAGCTAAACTGTTCGCCATTCGAAATTAGGCGATTCTTTGGTGTACTTCTTTATTTAGGCATTATACAAGTTCCAAATTTGAGAATGGCTTGGATGCCAAACTTCAGGTTAACGGCTGTTGCAGATTCTATTTCAAGAGCGCGTTTTGAGAAAATCAAAGAATCTTTCCACATAAATGATAATTCTCAACAGCCGGAGCGCGGATCAAATAATTTTGATAAACTCTATAAAATACGACCGTTATTAAATAAAATGAAGGAAAAATGTAACAGAATAGACCAGGAGGAATGCCAAAGTATTGACGAACAAATGATTAAATATAAAGGACGTCACAATTTGAAACAATACCTTCCAATGAAGCCCAATAAGTGGGGCTTTAAAATGTTTACGAGAGCTGGAGTTTCAGGTATCGTATATGATTTTGCTCTCTACGTAGGAGAAGGAACATGCCCATCTTTTGGACTAGGGATATCATCAGATATAGTATTGCATTTAGCCTCAACTGTTCCCTCAAATAAAAATTATAAATTGTTTTTTGATAATTGGTTCGCTTCCATAAGCCTGATGATTGCGCTAAAGGAAAAAGGTATATTAGCAGCAGCAACAATACGAAGTAACCGGATGAAAAACTGTTGCCTTACGGATGAAAAGGAACTTAGGAAAGAAGGTCGTGGTTCTTATGATTTTAAATATGAAGCAACATATAATTTAGTTGCTTGCCGCTGGTACGACAACAAGAGCGTTCAACTGGTATCAAACTATATAGCTGAAAATCCAGTTTCAGAATGCAAACGCTGGTGTCGTAAGCAAAAAAAGTACATAAATATAGCTAGACCTGCTATTGTTGGCTGTTATAACAAGCATATGGGAGGCGTAGACCTAGCTGATATGTTGCTAAAGTTGTATAAAATCAACCACCGTTCCAAGAAGTGGTATATGCGTATAGTGTACTGGTGTCTTAGCACAGCAGTAGTCAATAGCTGGTTGATGTATAGAAGGGACCTAAAAAATCAAGCTGGGAAAACGAAACATATGTCATTGTTAAACTTTCAACTGATGATATCAAACGAGCTTTTACACGCGTCTGATATGGAGCCAGTAAACCAACGCAAAAGAGGTCGCCCATTGGCAGCTCTTTCAAGCATAGACTCAGATTCATCATCACCGTCGTCTCCAGCACCATCAAATATTTCAAACGTTTCATCACAAGGTTCATCGCAATCTACAAAACGATCATATATATCTAAACCTCCAAAATCCATGCGCCTCGATCAAGTCGGTCATTGGGTTGAATGGGGAGCAAAAGGAAGGAGTAGGTTATGCCATACCGGGATTCCAGNTTTTTCCTTTTCGTTAGAATGCTAGTAGTTATCCTACCTGAAACGCCTTCAAAACCACCGTATTGTCTATTTTCCTTAATATGCCTTTAGCATATACTAAGCGATTATTAATGGTAAATAAACAAAGGGTAGGTAGAGAGCTTTTAAAAGATCTCAACATACCCCTAGAACTTCAGGCAAAAATGTATTTGCACACAAAAGCACTTGCTCGCCTTTTCAAGGAAATTGTGAAACCAAGGCTCGATTGGTAATTTTTTTTTTTATTCTGTGTAACTATTTGAAGGCCATAGATTATATTATACTCAGGGCCGTTTTCTAATGTAAGCAGTAAAGTTGCCTTTACTAACAGGGCAGATAAATTGTTCCTCAATTTAAAGTGTTTTCGTTTTCCTACCTTGCCGGTAAAAATAAATTCGTTATTCCGTAGAGTGAAACTTCACTACACTTCCGAGAGTGAAACTTCACTACATACGTCATAAAATTTCAAAGGTTGGCAATGCAACATAAGCAAATATAGAGCAGGAGCAACTGTTAGCAAAAACCAAAACATTGGTTGAAATATCTAATATATCTGGCTCATGAACCAAAACCGAACCAAAATTTAAAGTTGGGTACAAATTTTAAAGGTTGCATCGGGTGAGCAACAGTTTATCGATTCGAGAAATTAATGCTCTGATGAGAAAACGAAAACTCGTATATCGAGACGATAAAGTGGCCGGTAAACTAAAGGTTTGATGAGAAAACGGCCCTTAGTATATTTTATGATATACCGACTTACATATAAACTACTTGTATTTTAAAATGCATACATATGTGTCTGACGGAAGAAACTTAAGCGGTTAAAAAAAATTTTAAATCTCCAGAAGAAATATCCGTATACAAAGTAAAACGAATTTCCACCGGATTCAGATCCAAAGATAGTCTAAATTTATAGTTTATTGAGGTATTTACTGTAATTAACCCTATAATGCCTTTAATTTTAATATTGCTGTTAAATTTTTTTTTTAAGTGTCTGTATTTTTTAGGGTCGCAGACTTATGCAATAGGTTTCTATAGAGAAATTGTGGACAATATGGCCGTCTACAATGTGCCATAAGCCGCATTTCGGATCCGTGGTTAGTGCGCTTTAAAATTCTAAAAAATGGGTTTTTCTCCATATAAAAAAAAATAATAATTTTTTTCTTAAAAAGTAGGCCATATTTTACAAAATTGCTAATGTTCCGTATGAGTTGGAATTCATACGAAGTGTGAATGAACTCAATGAGGGTAAGTTGCAACCCTGCTTGGGAAAGAGAGTGTGTTTAGTTGTGCGAGTGAACGTAAAAAGGAGCGCTGAGCGTGCTTGGTGATGTTTGTGATATTAATAAATAATAAAGGTTAGTTTTTCAGCTGTGGCTTTTCCAACTAAAGCAAATGTGTTTTTATTGATTTGGCTGGGCTACGAAACATTGGTCCTTTGAGCCGGATGTGGGCTCGGTTGTGCTTTTGATTTCTTGGGCGATTTCGTGGCATCGTGATTGATGCCTATGAGTGAGGGGGCTAGAAATATGCGTGCATATGTATGTGCGTGTGTATAGAATGTGCAAGTATACAGTCCATAAATTGCTAGAGCTAGTAATGGCTGTGAGCTAGTGAGTTGATGAGCAACAGAGGTTTATGAATAGTTGTAGATGAGTCTACAGACGAAATCCTGGCAAGTTGTGAAATTGGTTGCTGGTAGCAAACATGAGAATGGTTGAGCGAATGGAGCAAGGGCAATGGGAATACACATGTGTATTGTATGCTATTTCTTGTGCTAGAGAGCAAGTGAATGAGCATGTGTATTGCAAAACGATTCCTTGTGCTTGAGAGCATGTGTTTGAGCGCATATACATATATGTGTTCAAACTACTTTTGGATGTAGAGTGCGAGGGCGATAGAACTATGTTACAAAGTCCTTTCATTTGCCATAGAGCAATTGAAAAGTTGTTAGAACCATAGTGTATACCAGAGAGCAGGAAAGTATGAGAGTATGGTGCAAGTACCAAGCACTGGTGGCTTGTGTATGTGAGAAGTGAAACTCATGTATACACGGGCAAGTCGAAGCTGCGCAGTATAGATGCGCAGAAGGCAAGTAGCTCGTCGGTGTGAGTATAAAATCTCATATATGTATGTAAGCGAGCTGAAGCGGAGCAAATCGGTGCGCAGAGTGCTAGTAGTGTGAACAGGTAGACTCATGGGCATACACATATATGTATATAAATGCCATATGTACAAATTAACGAGCTAGAGCGGTGCACTATAGAGTATAATATTCTAGAACTTTACACTGGTGTGTGTATGTAGCGGAATTCGATGCGAGGGTAGAAAAATACAAATAGCGTCATTGCTAAAGAGGTACTTGCGCAGTGAACATTAAAATTCGAAAGCAAAAGACTTAATAAAGCGACTTGATTATAAAATATAAAAAACTGACAATGGTAAAAGTGGAGCTACTTGTTGCGTGCGTGCGAGCAATTAAAAGGGCAGCGGCATATGTCCAGGATGAGGCATTTGCCTCTATAACTCATCAGGGTGCTAGTGCTAGGTTGGAGGCCTTGGAAGGGCGTGGTGAGCAGTGTTGCCGAGAGCAGCGATATCAATGTCTAAGAGCAAGAGCTAGAAAAGGCCGAGAATGGATATTTCGAGGCACGTGCGGCACTGCAGTGCAAAATAGATTTACTGGCACCATCCCCGGCACCAGTAAGTGCGCCAGAAAATATGCAGGTGGAGCTACAGTATCCACAGCGGCAAATGGACTTAAAGAATAACTGGGGCGAATTCGATGGTTCGCTGACCAAGTGGAAGGGCTTCCATGATCGCTTCAAAGCCGCTGTGCATGATAATGAGCAGGTTGCGCCAGCATTTAAGTTTGCATATTTGCAAAAGTCGTTGGTGGGCAAGGCTGCACGTACTTTGGGTGAGTGGCAGCTGACCGACGAAAACTATAATGAAGCATGGGAACGCTTAATTCAGCTCTATGACAAGAAGTATCACACATGTCGTGAGTATTTGCGCCAGTTTTATAGGTTGCTGTTTTTGGAGCGTGCATCTTCGGATGCACTTCAACGCATGTCAAACGTGACGCACGAGACATTGCGTCAGTTGCGCGCGCAAGGCTTGCCCATAGAGCATTGGGACATGCTCGTAGTGCATAATTTGCACGAAAGACTTCAGCGGCAGTCTGAAACCCCAACAGCAGTTGAGATGCTAGCGTTTCTCGACAAACAGGCCGCTGCATCTTCGCATCAAGTAGAGAACCGTCGTGCGCGAGAGAGCAGTGTGGCATCATCGGCTGTTCGGGCTGAACAGATAAAGAGGCGTCAGCAAGATGCAAATCAGAGAGCAAGTAAGGTCAGAGCTAGTGTGCAGAAGAGCGACGGAGGAGCAAAGAAGACTTCTCCATGCCACTTATGTCGAGGTGATCATGGGTTGTATAAGTGCCCAGACTTCCTGAATCTACGGGCACGTAAGACATATGTAGAGAAGCACAATTTATGTCCAAACTGCTTCAAGCAAGGACATACAGTAAAAGACTGCTATTCTGGGCCGTGCAGTAGATGTCCAGGCAAGATATTTCATAATAGTGTTCTGTGCCCAACTAGGGAGGTGAACAAGCACTTGCTGATAGTGCAAGACCCAGTTGAGCAAGTAAGGGCTAGTGGTTCATCCAAACGAGAGCAAAAACGTAGGAGCGCAGATGTCAACACAACAATTTGACAATCAAAAAGGAGCAGGAAGGAGCTAGATACATCGACTGAGGTAATAGAACTTGATATATCAGAGCAGGTTAATAAACGGCCAGATGTTTGTACACCTTATAAGCATGTTTTTAGTTACCAGGGCGGGGACCAGCAGGTCAGTGGCAGTTATGAATCGGGCAGGGAGTCGGTACCCAGGTACTGGCATTTAAACCTTTACCTAGCATAAGGCAAAGTGTAGTATTGTTGCCTACCGCCTTGGTTCGGTTAGAGATAGATAATGTTAATATTGGACCTTTTTGTGCTTTGCTGGATACCGGTGCACAACCAAATCTTATTTTGGATAAGATTATCAGAGCTTATCAATTATCAGTGGCCAGTGTGACCAGATATATGGTTGGTATAGATGGTCAGCCGTTCCTAGTTAGGAAAAAAATAAATGCTAGGGTTAGACCATGGTATGAGTCTGATGAATACATTGAGGCAGAATTTCGGGTACTGCCAGGGCAAAGCCAGCTGAAGCTAGTAGTGCCGCCTGACTCGATGAGTTTGTGTAGAATGGCGAATCCAACAAAGGTGCCTTTTGCGAATCCTAATTATTGGGAGCCTAACAATGTGCAGTTGGTCCTAGGCGTGCAGGTATTCGCAAGGTGCCTAATCGGGCAAGTGGCTAGAACCTTAGATAATACTACAATGATAGAAACCACACTTGGTATTGTAGTACTTGGCCCATACTTTGACCAGGTAGACTATGCCATCGGGTCAGCTGTTTCTGCCATAAGCTGCGAGAGTATGGACGAGCTAGGGAAGATAGTGCAGCGTTTGTGGGAAATGGACCACATTCCTGATCTTCCTGTTCGAATGGTAGAGCAAGAAATGGTAGAGAAAATGTTTATGGAAACTTACTTTCGGGATAAGTCAGGGCGCTTTGTCGTGACAATACCGATACGTAGTGCTAGTAGATTGGGCAGTTCGCGTGAGAGTGCATTGAAGCAATTTTTTTTATTTGGAGAAGAGATTAGCTAGAGATCCTGAAGTCGGTCGTAAATACATTGATTTCATGCGTGAGTATGAGCAACTCGGTCACATGAAGGAAGCTAACCATGATCCTTTGCGCGGTGAGCTAGTATATTATATTCCGCATCATTGTGTGCATAAAAAGTTCCGCGTTGTTTTTAACGCTAGTTGCAAGACGGAATCAGGGGTTTCTTTGAAGGAAATTCAAATGCTCGGAGAGAAATTACA